AGTAAGTAACATGAATTTTACTCACAACCAGATCGATCCCAGAAGGTCTAATTGCCATTGGATTGCTAAATTATTGATCAGGCTTGGTCGACCGTTTCTGGGGCTAGGCTGAATGTATGGATTGCGGGAGGAACTTCTGTTTACTAATTTAGTTTCAAACGATGACGCCGCCAAGCTTCGGAATTGCATGTCCCATCTCAAGACAATTGCACTCACAATGTGTTAATAATATCACTTTGATTTGAAAAGTTTTATGAAGCAGAACTGGGGCGTCCCTGATGAATGAGCTTCCAACATGGTGTCCTCAGCACCTTTTTTTCTTATTCCCTCCCCAAAAGTTCGACTTCATTTTTGCCTCATAGCTTACACATTCGCTTGATAAAGCCAATCCAAGACGGCTGAAACGTTGTGCGTAACCTGAATTTCGTTTTATCAAGTACATTGCCTCAATGAACGAGTTTTTCAATATCAGAATCAGTATTCAACTCAGTATTCTTATACTCGGAAGTACTTATTTAGTTGACCCTATGATTTCGAATCCCTTGCGAACGCACACTGAATAACATATCAGCCTTTTCATTCAGTTTCTGGGATCTGCAAAATCCACTCTGTTAGCTGGAATTGGTCCACAGAGTTACGCCTTCCGGTTTGGTGCTTCCAGAACTGAAGGCGTTTGTTTTCCCCTCAAAAACAACACGAAAACCATCGTGCAGAACGCTTGCCCGATCATCTATTGGGACAGGTATTTTAAAAACAGACTACTATTAGCGCATTTCAGTAGGCAGAGGTGATAGGCGACTGGTCTCGTTGTGAGCCCGATCAGGTGATCGAGCACAGATCTGCATGCTAATCATGTTCATCTGTGAGTCACACTCTGCGTTGCATAGCCAAAACATTGTGTCACGCGAGTCAGGTCAAACGTTTATTGTCTGATTTATGATAGTTCGGCCTTTCCAAAACCATGAGAACATTAATTTAATGAAGGAAGTAAGATCGACGGTACAGTGTCATTTTGAATCTGAGGACGATTCAGTATGTGGAAATTGAGGTACAGTAGGCCTAATCATAACAACTGAAAACTAAATAGCGGCCGAGACATCACCGAGTGGTGCATACGGATAAAATCCTATTCATTTACTTCTGAATGTAAACGCGATCGCGCGTAGAAATTGGGAGATTCGGTTGTTGGTCTGTTCACCCAGCGGTTGAGACACAAAACAGTGGCCAGGAGATTGACACTGCACTGTATGATGGGTTGAGAAGAAATGTAGGGGAAGGCTGGAAGCGAAGGGGCTGAAGGGCAAATGTTGCCCAGGCCGAAAAGGGGGTTGAGATACTCCACCCGGAGACTTTGGCTCAAAAGTCTGACCCACAAGACAATGGGAGGATGTGGGAGTTTGCTCGGAAACCCCGACCTTGGTCTCAGACTTAAGTCTGAAGTGCGAGGCAGCGCTTGTAAATGTTTTATTTGTGGAGACTGCCCGGAGCAAGTCACTGATTAGTCTGTCCCAGTTGGCTGTAGGGGACCGGCCTGGCACGAAGGCAGAGGGAAGAGGGCATTACTGTCCCACTCCTGATGCGGCTGCGCACAGCAGGTGCCTTTTGAGCAGCATTGGGCCCTCTGGTTTTAAAAGTATTTCGACCGTATTGAATAATGCGCCGGCGGTCATGGTCAACCTTTAGGCGATCGGAGTGCGCGGTTTTTAAGCGCCGCAGGGGAGGTAGCATCGCTGCCTCCATAAATATGGCCATGCCGGTCGACTGGATTGCAAACGCCTCATCACAAATCGAGGTCGCATCATCAGTGTGTGGGAGACTAGAATGCACATGGCATCGCCAATTTCAATGCTTGAGCATTCAATAAAAATCAATGAATTGTCGAATATTTCTAAACTTCCGACGCTGACTCAAAAGGCGAATGCACAGTATGACGCAATTGTACTACGTCTTATATTTGCTCTATTGTTTCACTGGTTTAGCTCTGATGAAGTGTGGCTGATATCAGACGAAGTCCAAAGATGTTTTTTGTGGAAATTTATTGATTCACTGTCGACCAGTTTATCTATCTCATGTATAGTATATTCTAATTTTAGATGGGGGAGTGCATGTGCTCTAAAGTGTGGAGTAACTTCGTGAACTACTGCCGAAGTTATTTCTACCGAAATTTCAGCGGAAGTAATCCAAGGGATATAAATGCCTATTTTATCTTTTGAATGACAACCACCCAGGGAGTTATCCACCTGTTGTATGTTGGACAATTTTTCTCCTGTCCTGGTGGAAATATTCTGGTGAGCCAAAATAGTCGGGGAGTTCCGCGCCATTTGGAACTCATTAGCGGTGCATAACCCTGGAATTGTAACCCCGGACCTCTTACTTTCTAGGCGAGCCGGTTATCCTGATCGATCAGCGAATGCTGGATGCGCCTGAATGATTACAGGCAAACTTGTCCACGCCTTGAAGGACACCATCGTTCTTGTCCCATTTGTGTCAATCGGTTCACCCGACAGTCAGGACTTTCCCATCAGGTAGCGCCCCCTAGATTAAAGTAGGGTGATGAAGCCACTTCAATAAAGATCTTCACATAAAGCCTCATGAAAAACGGCGTCCCTAAACCACCAAAGTGGAATAATTTAGTCAGGACTTTCCCATCAGGTAGCGCCCCTTAGATTGAAGTAGGGTGATGAAGCCAATTCAGTAAAGATCCTCACATAAAGCCTTATGAAAAACGGTGTCCCTAAACCACCAAAGTGGTATAATTATCAGCAGTCTGTCAACCCACGACGCGTTAACTTCACGCTCATGAGACCACACGGGAACATATTCAGGTTGATAAGACGATCACCGAGATTCTTACCGTCCAATCTCCACCTAGTGTTTCCAGATTGTCACCTAGAAACGAACGGAGGTCACGTTCTGAACTACTACAAGGGAATGCGAACAATATTGCGAAATACCAATGTTTCTTGTAGGTAAGAGAAGAAAGGATATCTTTCTTGCATTGAAACAGATGGGGAAAACACTCTTTGAAGCAAAGAGTTAGTACATCGGTGATGGTCGGACGTTTCCAATAACACCAGGGGTACAGTAAAGTTCGAACGTGGTTATGTTAGTGGGGCGCTTTTGATCCGTTTGGTTTTGCTTTATATGGGGTGCTTGAAGTAGGACTCGGTGGTGACTGCCGACGCTTCTACTTCATCTGTTTACCCAAATAAGTAGAAGAGAAAATGGAGGGAAAATGGAAGTCTATGAAATCGCTTTTAGGAAGTTAAGAGTTGCATAAAGTGAATGTTCCTCTTTCTTGAAGTAAAGTACTCACGAGGTTACTGAAAACTCTTCGAAAGCCTACGACAAATCTGTTGCTAGGTTTTAAGCTTTCAAACTAATATTACAATCGGTTGAACAGTCCACCTTCTGTCCTGTTGAAATCATTTCTTTACTAGAGAATTCTTTGGCTGAGTCGAG